TTTTGTATCTCGGATAATTTTATTTGACGATTATAATAAAGAAAAAAATAAAATAAAAAATATACACTTATTTAATAAAGAAAATTAGTGTTTTTAGGGCATAAATCAATCTTTAACCATAAAAAGTGATAATAAATAGTTGAACTTTGTTAGGAAATTTTTGACCGAATTTTCGACCAGTTAACGACTGTTATTCATATTATATTATAAAATGTTGTGTTGAGGTCAGAAATTTGATAGTTTTGTCTTTTACACTGTACCTTTGTCTTTCCCTGTTTGTTTCTTGTTTAAACTTATTAAAACATTTCTGATGGTTTTTCTCTAAAATGTTGTTTTCCTTTCCATTTATTAAATTACATTTAACATGAAAAATAATTTACCTCTGAAATGTCCAACAAATCAGCAAAAGTAAACGTTAAATGAAAGAATACCGTCAATAGAAAGTTGAAATGTAACACTGAATTATGTAAAATGAAAAGAATTTGAAGAATTTTGTTAAATGGAAATGATGAAGGTAGGGTGAGCATGTAGAACTACCATTTAACAAAAGTACAACGTTCAATATAAATAAATTTAGTTCAATAGATCAAGGTAGATTATTGTTTGGAAATTCAATAATTTCGTGGTCCGCTTGACCAATTAATATATTACAATTAATTACAGTTTTTAGTCGAGATAAAATCCTTAAATAAAATCGAATCCCGCTCGTGCCATTGAATTTTTTATCTCGACTAAAAACCTTAATTAAATGTTTGGAAAGATTATCTTACAAAGGTTGAAACATATAAAAGAAGAAAAAAATTTGTGGTCTTTACACGTGATACGATACTCTAAAAGGTACTATGAATCTTATTTGCGGTCAACACGACAATTGGAACTACGGTCAAACTTGAGTTTTTTTATAAAATTTATTTTTTATTTTCATTTTTTGGAGATTGAAAGGATATGTTGCTTAGTACTAAAATTATTTAAAGGCATTTGCCGGACACCTAGCACGTTTCTCTTACAATCACATTGATGATGTCAGCATTATAACAACATTCCAAATTTATCATAATTTACCAAAAACTGTTTGGTTTTCGATATTTTTAATCAATCCGCCCAATCCATAAACGGCATTTGTAAACTGCCTACTTATTCACGTGCCACCGTGTTCACCGGAGCAGCCCTAAATTTATGTAAATAACCGGTTAAAATTTCAAAATTTATGATTCCCTAATGTATTAATTATGCATTGTGTTAACAAAATGAATTTCAACTCTGTCCGCCCAACGCTGTGTTAATATTTCGGGTTTTAAGTTTAATTCGTTATATTAGCATTAACATGATTTATCAATATGATAAATGGAGGAATAATTGCAAATGCGGGGGTGTTTTTCTCACGGAAATCGTTCAACCTAATTTAAATAATTTTTTGTTACAGAGAAAATGTTTAAATGAAAGCTTTCTCGTTAGTGTTATTTTATACATTTGTTATTCAAGCTCATTAAGCCTAAAAAAAACAAAATTTTTTACTAATGAAAATATTGAGACCTGAACCTTCATAAACAAAGCACCTAACATGATGGAAACATTATATTCTACACATAAACCTTTTTGTGTTATACTGCAAATGTTAAACAAATGAACTTACCAGATTTATAATTAAAATAAAAATATTTTCAGGATATATTACATGTAATGCTTGGTTTTTGCGAACAACATAATCGTACAAAATTGGATCAGATAGTAAATAGATTTTAATATATAGTTTTAAATTAGTTAAGAAGGCATCAAGAAAAATAAATAAAATTAATCTGAGCTTAAAACATTGTAATTCCAATACTTATTATTTATATATGTATAATTGAATTGTGAAATATAAATTACCATGGTGAGACAGAAATTAAATTTGTATTAGAAGATTTTTATCATCAATAAATTAGTACAAATATTCTTTCAAAATTTCACCCAAGAGATAGGAACGCATTATAAAAAACAATTAATTTTCTTGCAAGTATTTTTCAAAGTAACACCAATGGTTTATTTGTAACCTACGCCGTTTTTTCTTTAAATTGGCATATTATTACGTAAAATCGTGGAAAATATAAATTTAAAAAACGGATTTCAAAGGTCATTATCCAAAATGATGTTCTATGACATTTTTTGCGTTTTTTCCTCAAGAGCCAATATTTTCTAAGCATGTCGCCCCAATATTGAACACAAGGTAAACCGCTTTTTTAAAGTTATAAAACTTTTTCTTCTAATGATGAACAAGTACTAATTGCTAACAATAGGTCATTTTTTTATACAATGGAACAATCAGCGCGAAACAGTTTCTCCGATCTGTAATTTATCGTGTATTAATTTTCGTAATGGTTTTCGATTTGAAAGGCACGTTGTCACTTGCGAGGGAACAAGAAACAAAAGCCTCTGTCCATTCAAGGTCAAATCGATGTCCAAAACTGTCAACGAAATTACTCTTAGGTACTCATTCACCAATGTTGGAGAAAGTACTCGGGAAGAGACGCATCCAATCTCTTTCGATATTAAATGATAAGTAAAAATTAGAAACATTTTCACTAAAAAAAGTTTTTAAAAAATGAAGCAAAATAAATCTTACAGGTTGTTGAAATTTTCCAAGTTTGTATTTTTGGAATTAAAACCCAATTTGAAAGGCGTATTGTCGCTTAAGGCAAGCAGGAGGCTCAGTAAATAAAAGTTTAATTTCCTTTCGGTTTATACGGCATAAAAGGGCGTGGGGTTATGAGAAAGGGTCGGTTGCCTTTATCGGGAAAGCAAACCCTTCTGTAGTTTCCAACAAGTGATGCAACCTATCGGCACGGAAAGTGGCTTTCCCTGTGCCACTACGTAAACCCCCGTGGCTGTGCAAACTCATCGGCTCTGTTGAAGTTAGGGTAATTAACGATTTCTCCTCTTTCTCGTTTCTGGAATCGCTAGATTAAACCGTAATTCAAAAATTGTTAACAAGCCAAGTTTTTTTATTTACTAAATACATGTGCACTAAATACTACAAAGTTCATAACACAAAAGAAGCTTAATTTTTTGTTGATAGTTTAGTGGTCAACCTTGAAAAACAACCACATAGTCTATAATAGGGGTAAGGATTACTAGAATTCTTTGGAGACTGATTCAGAATTTCCTGTCACGTCCATTCCTTGTCTGAAGATTACTAACGACAACAGAAAGGTAATACGGGCAATTGAATCAGGCAGTCTATGGGCCAAAACATAAATATAATTTATATTAATCTTGGTCAAGAAAGAAAATAAAAACGAAAAACCTCGTACAGTGGGAAAAAAAGAAAAGTTAGGAATAAGATTCTTTGAAAGCTCTTCTATCATTTGTATGTTCAATGTATTTACGCTGCAAAAAATGAATTTTATTTCAAAAATTTGACTCTAAAAATCTTTCAATAATATTAGGTTTGATAATGTAAAACAAAATAAGGAAAAAACTTCAGAACTTTCTTATTTAAAAGATTGTAAAGAACGATTGTTTGAAGATCGTGACATGCGGTCTTGTGTTATGTAGGTTTAGAAAAACATTTTCTTTATCGTGCCAACGTTTCGATCTTTGTTGTGATCATCTTCTGAGCTTGGTATTTATAAACATTGTTTAAATTTTACAAATCCCAGGCCCTGAGGATGATCTCAATAAAGATCAAAACGTTGGCACGTTAAAGAAAATGTTTTTTCTAAACCTACGTCACACCAGATCGCATCTTACGATCTACAAATAATCATTAACTAACGGTCAATAACAACTCACATTGTAAAGAACGTCTAGACACTACAGCCCACAAACAAAATAAAAACGAAAAATTAAGTAAAATAACATAAAGAGAAAAGTAAAAAATAAGATTATTCGAATGATAAATGTAAAACAACATTAAGAAAAATATTCAGAACTTTTATATGTAAAAGAGTGAAAAGAACTTCTAGGCACTATAGCCATATAAGAAAAATAAAAACAAAAAACCTCGTACAGTGGCATAAAGAGAAAAGTAAGACATAAGATTCTTGCTATGTTCGATGCATTTACGCTGCAAAAATGAATTTTATACAAAAATATGACTTTAAAAATCTTTCAATAATATTACGTTTGATAAATGGTGAACACAAAGTAAGGATAAGACTCCAGAACTTTCTAATTTAAAAGATTGTAAAGATCGATTATTTGGAGGTCGTGAGATGCGGCCTGGTGTGACGTAGGTTTAGAAAAACATTTTCTTTATCGTGCCAACGTTTCGATCTTTATTGAGATCATCTTCAGGGCCTGGGATTTGAAAACATTGTTTAAATTATACAAATACATGTAGTATGTGAAAAATGAATATATATCATTGTATAAATTCATTTTTTCAGCAAAATAATAACGAAAAACCACGTACAATGGCATAAAGAGTCACCTAAATAATAAAATTCTTTGACAGCTCTGCTATCATTTGTAAGTCGATGCATAAAACAAATTTTAGTTTAAAAAATGTGACTCTAAAAATCTTTCCGCAATTTTATGATTAACACATATAAAACAAAATTAGGAAAACAATTTAGAACATTCATGTTTCTTTTAATAATATTACAAATGATAAATGTAAAACAACATTAAGAAAAAAAATTTAGAACTTTTATATGTAAAAGAGGAAGAAAGAACTTCTAGGCACTGTAGCCATCTAAGCAAAATAAAAACGAAAAACCACCATAAAAAAAATAAGATTCTTCTACATTCCTGCTATATTTGTATGTTCAATGTATCCACGTTACAAAAAACAAATTTTATTTAAAAAATTTGACACTAAAAATATTACACTTGATAAATGTAAAACATAAGAAGGAAGTTTTATTTTTACTTCAGATGTTTTATATTTAAAAGCTTATAGAACCTCAAGACACTATATCCTATAAGCAAAATCTGATTTTTGCTGCTTGAAAAATGTTTTCATTTTGTCATTTTTGTAAAATGAAACAACGTTCTAAAATTCAATTTATCTGTTTCAGAAAGCCTACCCACAGAGGATACACAGAATCCACATGGTTAATCCAACTCAGGGGATGGAAATGGGGATGGCGCTTTTCAAGCCGATACTGTCGAAAAAAATCAACGACAGGGTAAGCGATTTAAATTTAATTACCGGACTTTTTCACGTTCGAGCGTAGAGAGAACAAAATTGGTTTCAAATAGACGCCAACGAGCACCGACCGTGAAGCGAACGACCGCGCATCCTGACAACGGACAATATTTGTTCGTTTATCGAGCCAAAACCAGAGCCTGTAGCACTGCAAGAAATTGTCTTTTATATATGTTTAAAAAAACACTGAATCGTCAGTTTTTACACAAATGACATGCCATATAAACAAACAGCCATATATAAATAAAATAAAAAGTTAAATCACAGAATTTCAAATCGTAAATTTAATCAATTTATCATTGACATCTAAAAAATACTTAGCCTATAATTTTTATTATCCTTTTGTTTGTAAAGGAGCGTTGTTTTATATACAATTTTGTTATAACATCAGGAATATTAGAAAAACATGACAGGGTAAGAACCACAAACTAATAATATTTACTCATTAATATCTACATGATATCGCCCTAAAATGTCTAAATTCGCAGGATAAACAAAAAGTCAAAATGGTTATTTTCTTGAAAAATTAAACGAACGTATATACGAACTGTATATAAAAATATAAAATTCTGAGAACATACGTTGTCATGGATTCCTGCAGATAGAAATTATTCTTTACAAACAATTTTCACATACATGTAATCACACAATTTTTTTTAAAATTTGGATACCAGGGACTAGAGGAGTTTTCTCCTGAGCACACTGCAGCTGAGCTGTACAGCTTATTGTATTTTATCCCTGTCCCCATATTTTGGGGGAGGGCTTGCAACACAAATGTGAACTTGCGCCCCCGTTGTACCGGTATTCTTCCATCGAAGAAACTCATTTTTGAAGGGGGTTGGGACCAAATTCAGGATCAGTCAGATCAGATCCCGCCCCTTCCATTGATGAGTGTCGTGTCAATTTATTTCAATTGCGGCCACCGGTCCTCTTAGGCGTCAGAAAAAGTCCAGAGGTGACGGTGGGGATCGAACCCACGACCGCGGGATCTACTAGCCGAGAGTCTGACGCCTTAACCACTCGGCTACCGCGGCCCCCAATCACACAATCATACTCTATCTTCTAAAAACTGCAAAGGTATGACAATCAGTATATGACACCTTAAAAAGTATTTACTCTATTGTCGAGCTAGTAATCAAACAAATAGTCACAAAAAAATACGTGCAAAAAATACACACTTCTTAAGAAGCACAAAAACAAACTGAAAAAATAATCTAAATGTGCAGAGTAACCAAAAATAACTCTTAAAGAAAACAGAAAATAATTAGAAAATAAATTAGTTTTGACTATATATGGTTTAACAAATAATTTTACCATGAAAAAACTGTTTTTTTCTTTACTATACAATTCATGAATCAGTTAATCAGAAATTACAGTACAATAATGGAAAAAAGAACGTTAGCTTTCCAACTTGTTCCCTTATGCAAATCTCTTTTATTTTTAATTTATTCAATTTGCCCCTAGATCAAACTCCAATGCATCTTAAAAAGTTTTTAAACTTCTTCCATTATTTGATTAAAAAAAAAACAATTAAAAAATATTTTTTATGTTAATAAATAAAGTATTGTACTGATCATTAACTGTTTAGAATTAGAAGGTACATAACTTTAAATCAAGATAATCAACAATTATTACATAAAATTCGATCTGATTATTAAAGTCAGGTAATATGCCACAATCGATTTTACTGAATTTGTGTTAGTCATGTACTCTTTAAACAAAATTATTATGAATTTGGGAGCTCTACACTTAAATATTGCCTTGCAGGCTTTAAAGAAAAAATACACATTTATCCTGTGCGTGCAATAGTCATGTACAGAAATGTGATGAAATTGGGAGGTCGGCTTCAGTAGGCAACAAGGTCGTCTGGTCTGACCGGTGGCTCCTGTTGCACAAATTTGCCTTGACATTACAGGCCAATACCCTTTACTTTTACTGAGCCCACTCAGTAGGTTATCGGCTCATTGTAGAAGGTTTTTTTTGTCTAAGGGACCTCTGTCTTTTTTTTGCAGTTCCTCGTTCACCGCGACTTAAAGGATTTGGTCGGGATGCTCGGAGACGACTGCGTGCCTAGCGATTTGGGAGGACAGGCGCCATCAATAGACGAAATCAACGGTATGTATAATTCTCCTTGATATTTCAAAACTCTTGAACTTTCGAAAGTTGAACAGGATTTTCAGGATAACTCCAATATAAAGTAGATGTAGACTAAATAAAATAAAAACATTTAATAATGTAGCTTTTTAATTTTTAATTAATTTCTTGCTATATGCTTTTAGGACAAGGAAAATATTTAATAAAATTGACGAAGAAATTTTATTTATTTATTGTACTAATGGCATAATTAACTTCTAATATTTATTTTTTAGTTACATCGATAGATAGATCTCCGTCCATTATTAACGCAATAAATAGTAGTATAGTCTTATTCGTTATTAATTTTTGAAGATGTAAGCGAGTGGATTTTTTAATTATTTTCTACAAATATAATGCAAATATATAAGTTTGGATAATCATTATTGATTGTCTGAAAGATGCTTTTATGCACAGGATAATATTTAATAAAATTGACGAAGAAATTTTATTAATTTAGTGTACTAATGACATAATTACTTTCTTAATATTTATTCGTTAGTTACATCAATAGATAGATCTATGAAAATTATTAACGCAGTAAATAATAGTCTAGTCCTATTTATTATTAATTTTTGAAGATGTGAGAGGGTGGATATTTTTATTATTACCTACAAATATAAAGTACATTATTTAAGTTTTGGTAATCATCATTAATTGCCTGCAACATGCTTCTAGTACAGGATGAAATTTAATAAAATTGATGAAGACATATTAATAATTTATTGTTCTAATGGTATAATTAAATTATTAAGATGCATTTTTGTTCACTTCGATAAATAGATCTCTGTCCATTATTAACGCAATAAATAATAGTATAGTCTTACTTCTTATTAATATTTGAAGATGTGAACAGGTGTTTATTTTTATTATTTCAAACAATATAATGCACATTATTTAAGTTTAGATAGTCACCTATCATTAATTATGTCCTTCAGAAGTATTTTGCTTTTATAGATAATTATATAAGTTTTTTTATTATTGTTATTTAAATCCAATATTTTATATTTTATTGCTCTATTATTTTATAGCTAAACTATTTAGACATATACTTACTCTCTCTCAATTTCTCACCCCCTCTTTATCTACATATATATTTTTCTCATTTTTGTTTCTGTTTCTCTTTCCCTTTCTCACTCTCTCTCTCTCTCTCTTTCTTTCTTTCTCTCTCTCTCTCTCTCTCTCTCTCTCTCTCTCTCTCCCTCTCGCTCTTTATCTCTTTTTGTCTCTCTTTCTCCACCTCTCCTCTCATCTCTATCCATATATCTATCTATCTCTTTCTACTCTTGCATCTCTTCTCCTTTCTTTCTATATATCTATGTCTCTATTCTTACCTCTCTCTTTCACTCACTCTCTCTCTCTTCCGTTCCCTACATGCAGTATAAGTAACATATCTCAGTTGCATTAATGGATACTGAAGTTATAACTATAATATCCAGTAATTTAATTGTTAGTATATGAAGTTTTTTCTTTTTCTTTAACTGTATATAAGTAAAATAACAGTTTGATAAACTCTGGTATTTTTGAAAATAGGTATCCGGCAATGTTATGTACCACGAACTGCATTACGTATTCATACATCTGTCAACACGTTTATTTCATCATTCCTTTTCGCCCTAATTATAAAAACATTGGACGACTAGAAACTCTGGAAGGGTTTGTGTAACGCATCTGTCACAGTGTTACACAAATCGTCACATATACGTTTACAAAGAATTTGAAAAAAAATGTAGCAACGCCTTTGAATCGCCAGCCGATAAGTTCAATACTGTAGGGTATTACCTATTATATTAAATATATGATCATACATTTTATACAAAAGAAAAAGTTACTCGTTTCTAATTGCCGATTTATTGAAAAGTTGGTGGTATAAAAATATCAAGCATTGAAATTATTATAAAACCTGGAAAAGCACCGGCGTAGAATTTAAAAGCAGTAAATCATTACGTATTGACGTAGCGTAATAACGATCCTTTGATTTTATGTTAGTTGGAAAACTTAGGAAGAAAGAAAGTGCTTCCAAGAAAATTCTTAGGATAAAGTTTTCGGCCGGTCCACACTTAATGATTCAAAGTTCAACTTTCTCTATTGACTAAGTCACTATTCATTCGGTTCCAGACATAGCAATAACCTTCTCGTCTTGTTTATCACCAGAGATGTAATAGTCGCGTTGGTAGAAAACGGCAAGCTGATGGTGTCCGGCCTGTAGGTGACACTCACTCGGGAGATACAGATTGGCAAGACTTGTCAGGACGTTCACAGCTGTATCATGATCACGACTGTTCATATAGATACAGTCATGCGATACAACAGCGTGGGGATGGCCGGGCTATTCTATTTCCTGCGAAAATGACGCTTTGTTTACACTCGTAGTCGTTTATCTTATGCCGCTGAGTTTCAGATATGTGGGAAAGAAAAACATCCTCCTTTTATACATACAAACATGTTAAAATGTCACAATACTTGTGTTATCTTTATTTATTTAAAAATAAATATATTATTATGGGATAGTTATAATAAAGAAAGTTAAAACCTTTTGTTAGACGGAAAGGAGTTGACAATATTTCCTAATTTCAAGAAAAATAGGAAAATTCGATATCGTCCTTCTTTTCTTAAAGCTCAAATTAGCCATCGCTAAGTTCGTTTTATTGGGGAAACGCTGAAAATAAACTTGATCTTTTATAGTTTATAAGGGATGTAGTAAGGCCGGTAATATTACCAAAAAAATTATAATCGCTAAGCTCATTTTCTTTTCCACTCTTTTTAATTATGTTACAAATAAAGCAGGGTAAATTGGAAGTATCTCAACATGAGACGCCATTTTCAAATTTTTGTCGACATTAATTGCCCTAGATGTCAGGACATTTAATAAATTAAAAGTCCCCCAGAGGGGGAAAAAATCCTCTGCTATTTTAAAGAGAATTGCATTGCCCAATGGCGAAGGCTAACTTTCGAAAAATAATAGTTTCATTCTGTACTTACAAGATATTTGGAGATAATTGAAGCATGGAAATCGGTCAAAGGAACCAGCTAACCTTCGGATTAGATTTTTTTCCATTTCCAAGGTGTAGATACAACTCGAAAGGAGGCACTATCGGCCTTTTCGCAAAAACAATCATCCTCCTATCTTTTTGACAACTTTCAGGTTTTTGCAATAACGTTGAAGTCAGAGGTGCTCGCCATAAAATTTCTCCTATGTACATTCATATCACACATAACTCCCTTCCCTACGAACTCTGATCATACTGATGCGTGCAAAATTTTCAATGTTACGAGACGTTACAAAATCAAAAACATTAAATAGGATGAAACGAACAATAAAAGTTGAAAAAGTTACTCTCAATTATATCTCAACTGTAATAAAAGTAAATTGTATTTTCTTAAATATTACATGAGAAAATTAAAGAAATATATACAGCTATAATATATAGTTGTGTATATTCTCCGACGTTACCCACATAAAATTAAAATGAGAATTTGAGACATGAAATTACTGTATAAATGTGTACCAAAATAATGTATACTTAAATTTGTCCTTTGGTCTGAAAGATTTTCGTCACATTTAGTCAATGTATATTTTTGTACAGTTGATAATCAATTATTAAAGTGTGGCCAAAATTAAGTAGCATGTATATAAATATATAAATAAATTAAAGAATATATATATATATATAAATTTTTTATGAAACAATTAATTTATACATTCATAAATATTTGTTAATTAATTTATAGATTTTTTCTTTTAAATACTAAATTGATTTATTCTACATTAAAATTACGTGACGTTTGGTTTTTAATTCAGTTTCGTCTTTGTCATCCTTTCACCTCATTTTTTGGCAATTGAACAATTTTTGTATTTTTCTAAATGTACTTTACTGTGGCATTAAAAAGTCCAGTATACAGCAAGGCTTAACGTGCAACTATACATTGACTGTCTCTGATTCAGTCAGAATTATATTGAAAAATAGTAGGTCCGTGCTATTCTCGATTAAAATTTAACTTGTTTCGCCAGGATTCGAACCCATGCCAGAAATCGTGGGAAATGCGTCAGACGTATTAACAACTAGGCCACTGTGTCTACTCTATTTTAAGTATTATATGTTGCATGTTCAAGTCATTTAATGATTAACAAGTGCAGTAAATGTTATTTGATAAACGGCAAATTGTTGAAGAAGCATTTCTAGAACTTGGAAAATTTGTTTTCATTCAAATCTAATATAACTATCTTGACTTTTAGTTTTAGTCAAATTTTAATACAACAAAAAAGTTCTAAACGACAAATTTTGCATTATAGTTAGTAATAAACAGGCACTTTTTTATAGCAAATACTTAGTCTAAAGCATTTAAGCAATTACACCTCAACACAATTCATTTTCGTTGACCTAGTTCTACACCCCACCATCTTTTGAAGAGATTGCCGCCCTCAAATTCAAAAATTAATAAGAACAACTTACTCTGATATTATTATTTCAAAACGCAAAAAGCCTACCTATGCAATCCTAACCTAACAATCTTCTTTTTGACCAAACCTGGTAAAGTATTAACACGCAACATTTCATCAATTTTACTAATTTCAAGACAAAAGTATAATATTAAAGCGTGGTTGGCCAGGTAATCGAATATTTGTTGAACGCATATAACAATCTCCAAAGTTATAATTTATTTTAATAAACTACACGATTGGGTTAATTCAATCGTAAAACAAATACCTGGCCGTATCATGGCCGCGTCGTTATCGCCTCCAGCCAAGTTTGTAAACGGATTAACCAACATTGTATGATTATTTTTCAGCTCGTTGGGAAGAAAAGCTGATAGCCTACAGGGATTGGTTCCAGTGCAACGACGGCATCAAATCAGACGAATCGAAGAGAGTCGGAAAATGTCGCTACCAGTCTGAAAACACCTTTGGAAACCAGGGTTCTTTTAGGAAAATTGAAGTAGACTAGATTATAAACGTAAGCAAAACATGTAAATAATAATAACTTTCCTCAACTGTAAATACTATAATGATAATCTAATCAACATACCCAAAAACCAGGATAGTAACACTTTGTTTTTAACTAATACTATTAAATTCAATATAATTAGACATAAATAAGTTTATATAAGTAGTATAGAGTGACTGAACACATTGTTTTCATTCTTGCACTGAAAAAGTTCCATAAGCCTTATACTTTTAGTTTTTAAATTTAATAAATGTACTTTAAATAAATGTCAATTTTTATTGAATAATTACCTGTTCAACCCATACGTTCGTCGTCATGATTTGGTTTTTCAGGTTCTGAAACACAAAGAAAAATATATTAGACCAAGCCTTCAGTCTCAAATTAATGGGAGGTTCATGCACGCTACAAGTCGGCGAATTGCTAAACTTGATATCTCTTTTTTTTATAAAAATTTTAGTTACATAAGGGCCAAGGCATAGGAATTTCTTTCTTTTTTCCTCTTCTTTCCATTGTTCTGTTCAACAAAGATATTCAATTCTGTCATGTTTGTTGTCAATTGAATGATTTCAATTGACACCTTTGATTTTGATATAATAAAAGAATTTTACATGAGTGTAAAAAAATGTATTATAGGTATAAGATAATTTTTGCCGTTTAAACGAGACAAAAAAGGTTGTACGTAATTACATCACGTAACAAATACGACTCAATTCCGTTGCATTTTTTCTAGTTTTGAAACTTCCACACACATTTTCTATCCATGTTATACAAAAGAAGTCCAAACAAGGAAAACATGAAAAATTTCCAAAGAAAAGAAAGAGATCCGCTCCTCGTAGGACGGCTATTAGCTTCTCGAGCGTTTGATCTGTATTTATTCTGTAGTATTTATTGTAGTTAGTTGATAGTTAATTATTGCATCTGTTACTTGTTATTTATCTATTAGTTTGTGTCTTCAAATTGTTAGTTTTGACAAAATGTAATTTGTTATTTGGTAGGTCTGCACCTTTATTTATTCATGTTGTTGTTATCCTTTGCTGTTGTTGTTTTCGCACCGAATTTTTTTAATTCTTAGTACTTATTGTGTCGATCAATCTTTATTACTCTCGTTACTTGTTATTTATTTATTGCTTTATGAATTTCTAGTCATGTTAAAAAATGGAATTTGATATTTCATAGGTCCGTACTCTTGCTGGGTGTTCCAAAACAAAGCTTAAAAAAAAAATTCAAACAAATTAAAATATAGTATAAATACGAGTTTAATAAACAAATCAATTTCTTAATACATAGCATGTACACGTTTTTGAACTTGAAAAGTTTAAATTTTTGTTATGTTTGTAAATTAAGTAGGTATTCATCAAAAAATCGTTCTTGAAACGTTTTTGACTTACAAACTTATGTCAGGAACCCTGTTTAATTTATTTTAACAAATATTTTATTTGGTGTTTTTCTTCTTACACTTCTTTCTAAAATTCTTATGAATAGCCAAATTGCTAATAAAGATATCTGTATTATCGCAATCCTTAACTGGAACGAAAAATCTTAAGATAGAAAGCTGGACATCGGATAGCATCGAAGTCAAGAGAGATGTGAGATAGGGGTGCGTCTTGTCGCCACTACAATTTAGCATATACTCCTAAGAGGGTACAATCACGAAAGTGTTTAATCATATGGAACTGGGTGTAAAGGTGAACCCTGATAAAATCTGATATGAAAACGATAACGTATTAAGTACTAACAACCAAGAGTCTGTCTGTTGAACTACTTACGGGACCCTCTAAAGAATGAAAACAAATATAGAAAAGGCAAGTTGATTTGGGATTAAGGATAAAATTATTGAAATGCTACGTCTTCTCAGCTGTATGGTCTCGAAGCTTGGACACTAACCGAGACCTCTATGAGAAAAGTTGAGGCATTCGAGTTGTAGTCTTATAAAAGGATGCTAAAAATAAATTGGACAGAACACTTCACTGACGTAGAGGTAGTCAGAAGCTTTTACTTATAAACAAACCAAGTGAAATTAAACATCAATAATCCAAAGAAAGCTTAGGCAATTCAGTCATGTTCATCCGGATAAATATGAACGGTTTAAGATTATTGTACAAGGAAAAATCAAAGAGAGACGAACATTTGGTAGTATAGAAATTTCTTGGCTGAATTACTTGACGCAATGGATGGTTCAACAAAAGCATTAGATCCCACTTTAGAGCTGCTGTGATGATGAACGATTGCTAACGGATATGGGTATACGAAGAAAGGAGTAATACTATATACATTTGTCGCCGAGAATCAAAAAGATTACACGACATTTGAAAAATGGCAAAAAGGAGGAAAAATTCAAAAGGTGGGGTTGAGATGGAAGGTTAGTGCCCGAGTGGATCGAAGTCACGATAGCTCAAGTGGTAGATCAGCGGCGTATCAAGCCGAAGGTCGTGGGTTCAAATCCCGCTCGTGCCATTGACTTTTTTATCTCAACTAAAAACCTTAATTAATTGAATGATATTAATTGGTCAAGCGGACCACGAAAAATAGTGAATTTAATGGACTATATGCAAACTTTTTACAAAAATACAAAATTTACAGAGCTACCTAATATCTTAAATTTCTAATTTAATTTGGCATTATCATTCATCATTTAAAAACAAACATGGAAACGGTGTTGTGTTAGAACAAACAAACACCCAGGGCAATAAATATTTAAAAAAATTACATAAATATACAACATATGAGAGATAATGTCACACAATCAAAAGAAAAGTGGCACAAATCGAAAAATTATAAAAACATAATTATTTAGGTTTTTTTAAGTATTCGGGTGTGTGATGATACAGGAAAAATGACACAATTGTAGGTAGACTCTTAGCAGCACCATGTGTTACTTTTGAATTGGTGGGAACGCACTGTCACCAATCTCGAAAAGTAACATAACTTAACTCTGTGTCCAGCTTTAAAGCATCGGTGTATGAAATATATGTAAAAATGACTTTGACATCACATGGACAAACTGATTCTAAATTTGTTGACAACGAAGAAGAAGGAAACTTCCATCAATAATATGACATTTGTCAATTTTCAAATTCCATCTCTTTGGCAATTTCTCTTCAGATACACTTACATATCTGGGAAGCATGAAGGCTTTGTTTCTCAGTTGCAGATCAAAAAGTTACAGAAAATCAAAATATAGTTTAAACTGAATTACCACGATTATATTTTATGGGAAAAAAGATTGCATGTCCTTAATTGAAACTAATAACATTCCTAGTTCTTATGCTGCGATTTTACCTTCAGAGCAAAGTAGTACTAATTTTATAATTATTTTAGTTTTCAATGTTAGAAGTATCGACCACTTTTTCACTCATGAAATCTCTAGATCAAGGTATGGTCTTGAAGCAAAAGCAAATTCATATGTTACTGCCAACCTTTCGACCTATTTAAAAGTAACCATCAGGGAATATATTAATTTCCCATTATGAACAAAAATTTTAAATCAATTGTAAAAATATGATTTTCGTTATGTGAAATTAACAAAGGTCCTGATGATGACCTTAAATTAGGTCGAAAGCTTCGCAGTAACGGCTGAATTTGCTTTTCTCTTCAAGGCTATATATGTTCGTGAATTATTTTGGTTTCATTTCTTTTATTTTATTATTGTTTGTTTTTAGTTTTTCAATAATGTTGACTTAGCTTTCACATTATTTTCTAGTTTCAATGATTTTTTAATATTTTAATAACATTATTTTTAATAGTCAATAAATATTTAATATTTCAGTAATTAATTTTGTGTTTTATGTAAGTAATTAGCTCTGACTCCAGGAGGAAAGCACATTTTGGTCAAAATAATCTTAGTAAAACTTACTACCTGGATATTTATGCTCGCTTGTTAGTTTGTATGTTGTCTGCTATTATTACAAAAAAAATTAATACCCTTATAGTCATTCCCACTAGCATCGTTAGAGCAACTAATTTAAATTACTGAGAGCCAGTATTTGCAAGAAAATTGTCACAACCCAAAAAAGGGGTAGTTTTTTTATGGGCAGTACAGCTGGGGTTAAATTTTGAGTTTTCGCTTAAGTCTTGGAGAAAGGAAAGACAATATTGATTGATCATGACAGTTTTTATTGCCAAAAACCATAACGGCGTGTTCTTTATACATAAATTAAAAAAATTCAAACTTCCATTTGTCTCTCCTGTAATTTTATTTCAGCTGTGTCACTTTTCTTACGAGTGTGTGGTGTATCAAATTTATTCGCCCTCCAAATAAAGTATATAGATATATCGATTCTGGTCCGTTCAGACTCTCTATCTTTTAAGAAACTCGTTCACAAAATCTTTTAAATCACCTATTTGTACTTTTCTTAAATTAATGAACAATGAATAAATTACTCGCGTTATTAATAAAGAAAAATAGTAATTTATAAAGCAAATTTGATTAAATTATGCCCGTCCAGGCTGTTTATTGTATGTAGTACTAATAAATATCTCTTGAGTTCTTTGTTTTTTAAATAAATGGAGAATATTTATTAGCGTAAATGTTCTGAAGGCCTCGATGGCGGAATAATGTCCCTCCCCCACATATAGGGATAGGAATAAATAGTTACACCTTCTATGAATATCTTCATGTGCATCATGCCTGGGGTGTTCAACCAGATTTTGGACTCATTAGAGATCCATTCTTCGAAGTATCCTATTTTGTGGACAGGCGCACAATAAAGTTAAGGGCTTAGAGAATTCATATTGGCTCCTTTTTGGACAACATGCCTACTTTGTCATTGCCTCTATGTCCAGAATGCCCAGGAACCCTGCCCCAGGGTCAAGTCATTGGTTTCACTGACATTTGCCAGGATTCATACCTTGCATGAAGTTAAGGCTACTTGCCGGCTGACTAACAGATAAAATATTTTAATATTTTTAATATTTTCTACACAAATAACTTTTCGTGATGTTTAGTGACCGTTAGTTAATGATTCATTATCGTGCCAACGTTTCGATCTTTATTGAGATCATCTTCAGGGCCTGGGATTTTTAACCATTGTTTAAATTTTACAAATGCATTTAGGATGTGAAAAAATTACACATCTACGAACACTTTGAGTGAGTACAAATCCTTTGATTGAACCTAAAATTTTCTAGTATTTTATAAATTCATTTTTTTATTTAAAATTTTCTAGCATAGTATAAATTCATTTTGTTAATCTAAAATTTTCTAGCATGGTATAAATTTACTTTTTCATCTAAAATTTTCTAAGATTGTATAAATTAATTTTTTTTCACATCCTACATGAATTCGTAAAATTTAAACAATGTTTATAAATCCCAGGTCCTGAAGATGATCTCAATA